CTCTTACGGGCAAGGCTTACAAAGCTTGTGGGCAAGCCGCTTCCTCTCTGCATGCCATGGCGTTGCTTCAGGTCCACCAGGCCCAGGCACTCATGAACATGCACAAGGGTAGTCCGGACCGTGAGCTCATGGGTGAACTCCGCACTGCAACCGACCTCGCCCTCCTGGGCACGAAGGTTGCAACTTGCGCGATGGGTACGGCGATGTCCACACTTCTGGTCCAGGAGCGCCATCTCTGGCTCAACCTGGCGGATGAGAGAAGCGGACAAGGTTCGATTCCTGGACTTTCCCATTTCCCAGGTTGGGTTATTTGGCGACGCTGTGGAGAGCTTTGCCCAACAGTTCTCTGCAGCCCAGAGGCAGACGGCGGCCCGCTGCTGCCTTCACCCGTCCGCCGGGGACAGATCCTCCACCTGCCCGTCGCCGAGGGCGTCCGCCTGCAGCCGCCTCAGCTCCCGCTGGACCATCGCAGTAGCCTACACCCAGGTCTCGACGTGGAGCTGGCCGCAGAAGGGCCGCCCAGCCTGTCCCAGGCGCTACCAAGCCAGGTGGTAAGTGACAGCGGAAACGTTGAACCTGGACGGGCCCCCCAGGGATGGAGAAGTTGCTCTTGGAGTGGCCACCGATCCACTCCCTCCAGCCGGTTGGAGGGCCGGTTGGAGTTTTTTAATTATGTGTGTCTGTTCCGCCGCTGGCTCCCATAAAAGCGGGGTCAGCGGTACCCACATTTTCATAAAAAGAGCAAACTTCTCTATTCCTGGGTCCCAAGAGGGCCAGTCTGGCGGTGTGTGACCCTGTATAGCCTTACACCCCTCAGCCCCCTCTTGGCCACCAGCAGGCAGCTTGGTGCGCTTTGAGGACCCGGTCATCCGCTTTGTCATGCATCCCCTGCCGCCAGTGGAGACAGGTAAGTGTTGCACTGCACACTAACACCACTGTTCTCCACTTTGCTGCCCCACCTTGGGTACGTCTGTGGTCGCCAGGGCCTGGTTTCTAGAAGGAGAAAGAGCTTCCAACCGGTCCGGACCAGACTGTGACCATCAGACTCGGCTATCGTTCGGCTCCGCTCAAATCAGTGATAGTCATCACACTACTTGTTGAGCAGACGTGCTCCTGAAACTCAGTGATATTCATCACACTACGTGTTGAGCAGTGCTCCTGTCTTGTGCATGCATATCTACGTTCTACTGGCGAAGGACATGATATAGCCGCTCCCTCCAGCCGATATGAAGGCCAGTTGTTCTAAACTCATCCTTCATGGTACCTAGTATGTGGTGGGTCGTGACCATCTTAGCCCAAGTTGGTCTGCAGCATCTGACCTGAATGACATGTACTTCAGATCTCTACCTTCCGCACCACGGGCCATCCTGTGTGTTGCGTGTGAGGGTTTGAAGTATCAGTACAGAGTCCTACCCTTCGAGTGCTCCATAGCCAGTTGGGTCCTCAGGTCAACTGGGAGAGAGCAATCTCACCCACGGGCTGAGTATCTCGTTTTCAGTTTGGAGAAGGACTCGGTCGAACACGTCTTTTCAAGAAGAGAGTGTGTTTGGCTGGTGCTATATAGAAGTGAGAAAGGGTCCCACTGAAAGAACTTTCAGAGGCTCCAGGGGCATATGGCAGACGCAGCCGCTTGGCTTCCTCCATATGAAGACCGCTTCAGCACTAGCTTCATGATCGAGTACCGAGGTGTCCGTGGCAGAGCAGCACGCCCTGTGTGACAACAGTTCACCCCGGCCTGTTGCCAAACCCTCACCGACTGAGGGGTCTTGTACAAAGGAATTGCTTTAAGGGAGGCCTGGACGACCTCCGACTGCACGGGCATTCGTGCCTTGAGTGGTTGCAGTTCACCTCGCTTTGAGCCACCGCTGCTCAGCGAGGTACTGGTCTGAAGAGACAACATTGCGACCATTGCGCTAAGCTTCCCTCGCATGTCACAACTCACCCGTCACCTCCTCCTTGGAGTCAGAAGCTTCTGAGGTCTCTTCTTCCACTATTCCAGTCTGCTCATTTGTGCCACCAACTAGCCTCACGACAGCTATGGCCAGGGAGAGTGGAGACTCTATCCCCTGGCGCTAGCTCCCAGCTGGCCCAGGGGCCCCGCAGAAATGCGTTCCCCAGTGAGCCTTCTAAAAAAGTGGCTATACGGTTCATTATCGCTGTGCGCCTGCTCAAGTTTAGTGATTTTCGTCACACTTACGTGTTGAGCAGAGATGCTCCTGAAGCTCAGTGAAATTCATCACACTCAGGTGTTGAGCAGAGATGCTCCTGAAGCTCAGTGATCTTCTGTGAGCAGTGCTCCTGTCTTGTGTGCGCATGTCGCTTGCACCTACTGTGCTAAGTCAGGAGTGGAGCAGGTCTTGATAGTTGCCCCTTATTGGCCCAACTAGACCTAGTTCCCCTCGACAGCCTTCCTGACTTCCCCTGAATACATTTCCAGGATGGGGCAAGATGGCACCCGCGTTCAAACCCCTGGAGAGATTAAAGGCCGGTCCTAAACTGGACGCGGAGGTTCAGGTGGCTACGGCAGGAATATGTGGTAGTTATCATCACTTCTGCGAGGACCCCCTAAAAAGAGAAAGTTGTGCTTATGCCAAATAGAAGTGGAAACTATTCGTGTGTCTTCTCTCCGTGAGGAGATCCTGAGAGCGTTCGGTCATTTTAGTGCTCTCTTTCCTGCTAGATGGGTTGGAGTAGGCTGTTTTGCTCCACCCTCAAAATGATGCTGCCTCTGTTTTCTTGACGCACATCATGATGCAGAAGCATGGGCAGCACGTCCTGATCGTATCTTCTTGGGCCTTATCTCTGGTGCTACTGCACTCCACCTGAGCCACTGCAGGCAGTGAGTTAAAAATTCTGTTTTTAAACAGTTCTCCTGCTCGCATGGTCTCTACTAGAGGGTAGGAACTTGCTCGCTTTCGGTCAACGAGTTGTGCCTGGAATTCGGGCCGGCTAACTCTCACGAGCTGAGACCCCGGCCTGGATATGTGCCCAAGGTTCCTACCTCTCCCTTAGACTGCGACCAGGTGGTGAGCCTGCAAGCGCTGCCCCGGAGGAGGCAGACCCAGCCCTGGCTTTCTCTGTCCGTCCGCTTCATTGCGGTTATACATGCACAGAACACAAGCCTTAGGACCTCAGACCAGCTCTTATCTGTTAAGGAAATCAGCAGAGAGGGAAGGCTGTTTCCAAGCGAGGTTGGCCTACCGAATGTGGCTGCCTTCATCTTGGTGAAAATCCCGAGATGCAAATGTCCACTTAGGTGGTGAGCTCCTCTTAAATGAGTGTGTGCTCCCGCCTAGGCGTTGACACAGAGTGCTTCGCTGACAGATATTCTAGAGTTGGAGACTGGGCAACACCTTAGTCGAACCGCTGCTTCCCGTGGGCTCCCTTCTCATGAAGCCAGTTTTACCGTGAGCCCGGTTCGAAGTGTCGGCTTGCTGCGCCATTCCCCTCCTATGGACTGGATATGTGCACCATTTTTTCTCCAGTTGAGTTCCCTTTAACTGAACCCTCCGCACCCCTCCGACATCAGACGTGGCGGAACGCCTGGTGTTAGGCCTAGCACTGGTAAGCAGTGTGGAACCTGTGTCAGGCTGGGTCCATATGTTGCAATCCCTATGGTGATCCCATATGTGTATCGGTACGGCTCCCTGCGGCGAGGCCGTGTCTTCCCTCGGCAGAGATTGTCTGATGTTCTCGACTGAAAGGGAACGTTCTGGTTGCGTATGCAACCCACCGTTCCCTGAAGGAGGGAACGGAGGACGTAGTCCCCTTGCCACTACTGCTGGACCACCGCTGACTCCAAGTTACGCTCGGCTCCTCAGCGAAAAAGCAACTAGTGCGTGCATCCACTTCCGTATTTATACCCGCGGGCGGAGTGTGTGATGTCATCATGCACGCCAATTCCATTGGCTCGTTCAATAGTACTCGAAGACAATTGGCTCCCTAGCGTCATCTCAATTCAGTCGACGTCGACTACGTCCTCCGTTCTGTCTCCTTTAGGGAACGGTGGGTTGCATACGCAACCAGGACGTTCTAGTGATTAAACCAGATGTTCTCATTACATATTAGCCTACAACGATCTTGTGTTGTGAAACAAATATTTGGAAAGGAAACATGTATCCACCTTATTCTTACGCCCCATGACGCTTTGCGTGAATTATTGGTGTAACTTCCGTCAAGCTGTAAACAATCAGTGAAAAGCTCGGTCTATGAATGTTATAATACGTTTAAAAAAATTGCCACAATGAGATGACATTATTCTACTCACCCTTCAACCATCGAACATTAAAAGGACATATAAAAGTGTAAAAGCATCAACAAGGTACTTTCAACAGACCACGAATAACCCCAAAACGTGATTCTTTCCACAGCAATAACGGACAGGTTAAATATCACTGTAATGCATATCTGTATTATGTAACATACGTTGCCTTAATCAAAAATCGTATTCACAAACCTGTAAAAACAAACCTGTAAAGTTACGAGGATTTGAAGAGAAAATTATTAATGGGATGTATTGTAAGGAGAACAGACCACAAATGTGCAGTATATGTTGTCCTTTTTTATACTATTTTATACTACAGTCTGAAAATAAAACATGAAGGGAAATTAACAGCTCATTCAGTCAAACTGACGGATCAGCTTTATTTGTACGGCAACATTATGATTTGAAATGATTCGTTTCAGTCATTTTGAATGGAAGTTCCCCCAAACCGGAAGTGCCACCCATAATCCAAAACGCAGTAAGATAGTCAGGAATAAGGTGAATAGCTGTTTTGAAAGAATGACTAGCAGTGTGAACAGTTTGTATTGTTGTATAAAAAAAAACATTTCCACCTTGTGAAAATAGTATTTAAAGCGAATAAAAAACTGTATGTATATTCTTTTAAAGGATAGTTATTATTTTTAAAAGTATGCTTAAGTATAGGCCCTACTGTATTTCTTTTCACAAGCTTATGGGTTTTGGCAAAATGCTATTTTAAACATTTATATTATTTTACTGTTTTTCAGGGGACCCCTACACCTGTTTTCCATGTGCAGAGAGTGAATGGTATGAGGAAGGCAGCACAACTTGTAAAACACGTTCTGTTGTCTATCTTCAGTTCACAGAAATCCCCTCAATCGCTGTCATGGTTTCTGCCATATGCATAATTATTTTACTCATTGCCATATTTTCCCTTTTCTCCTACAATTACAACACACCAGTGGTGAGGTCTGCTGGTGGTAGCATGTGTTTCCTGATGTTGGCGTCTTTGATTTTGTCAAGCATAAGTGCATTCTTTTTCTTTGGAAAACCCACATTTGCACATTGCCTCCTGAGAAATGCCATATTTGCATTTTTCTTCACTGTGTGTATTTCCTGTTTAACTGTCCGTTCCTTTCAAATTATTTGTGTTTTTAAAATGGCTGCTCGGTTCCCTAAGGTGCACAGCTTTTGGGTAAAGTACAATGGACAGTGGCTTTTCATTGCATTTGCTTCTGTCATTCATTTAATTTCTTGTGTGATATGGATGACTGTCTCTTCTGTCAAACCCATCGCTGACTCATGGACTTATAAGGACCAAATTATGCTCATCTGTGAAAGGGGGAACACTATAACATTAACCATAGTTGTGTTTATAGGTTGGTTTCTTGGTTTACTGTGTCTTCTGTTTTCCTACATGGGAAGAGATCTGCCGAAAAATTACAATGAGGCCAAATCCATAACCTTCAGTCTCATTTTGTACTATCTGACCTGGATTGTTTATTTTACAGCATACATCTATTTCAAAAGCAAATATATAATCCTTTTGAATGCAATAGCCCAGATATCCAGTATAAATGGAATTCTCTTTAGCTATTTTATACCAAAATCTTACATCATAATATTCCAACCACAAAAGAACACTCCCGCATACTTTCAAACATCTATTCAGAATTACACCCAAACCATGAGTAAGACTTAGACTTAAGTCTTTGTGTACCCACTTTATTTTTAACATAAGAGCTGGTGCCATAGCTTTAATGTGCGAGGCATCCGGTCTCATCCGCTTCCAGTTATTTTTGCTGTACAAAAGCTTGATATTGCAAACTTGTATTTGTTATCATATTATTTGAATCTTTTATAAAACACACTGATTTGTAGCGCAAATAGTTTTAGTCATTTACCTATAGAAGCAGATTAATCGATTATCCTGATTAAGTCTAGCACATTCACAGAAAATAGCTTACTTTTGAGTTGCAAAATAAAGTGGATAGGATGTGAACTCTTAAACTCTGTGTTAGTGGCCTTAACTATTATTTTACCACAATCTTAAAGAAACACGTAGAAAATGTATGAGAATGGAGATCAATTTTGAGGTTCAGTCTGAATTAAGATACTCTGTGAATTTTGAGAATAAAAAGGGTAATTTAAATATTTATAAAAACTTAAATGCTAGCATTAACACTTAAGTGTAATGTAACACAAATGCTTGTTTTTAACTTGTAATAAAGAGCACCTTCAAAACTTCCCTAACTTGGTTTAAATACATAGATTTGTAAGGTTTGGATGGTTGACATCATACTGACTCCCTACTCAAACTCACATGTGTAACAGTATGCAATGTTATAATACATTTAAGTATGCTATTAGTAACAATACTTTTCATTACAATTTGTTTTACATTTTGAACCTGAGAAAAAAATACATTTTAGAATGTCCTGGTGTGTATTTGGCATGTTTTGCTTTAATGACAGAATGAAATCTGACCTTAACATACAAAGGACTTAGCATACATCACACATTTTGCAAACATTTGATTAGTGACCTACAAATATTAACAAATAAATGTTTCATATTTGTTTTCTACATAACTTTTTACGATTTTCAAAATGCTAAAACTTATGGAGTAAACTGAGTACAGTTTAAACAGAGGGACAGTTGAAACATGTTAAACAACTTGTGTGTGCTCTCCCTGAACCATGACTTTTTTTCTCCACACATGCATGGTAGTTTTCTCATCAACTCTAAAGGACGTATGGAGCTATAATCCAAAGATATCGAATAAAGTCTATTTAGGGGTACGAATTTCGCTTTACCCCGGGCCCTCTCTTTAACATTGAGTAGCTTCTTGTCCTTTATGTACAGACAGAGAGCTCAACACGCAGCAACTGAAAAAAACACCAGCAGATTTAGAAAACATCTTCATCAGTGCTGCAAATACTACTGTCGCGTAGTAGCACAGCAAGCTATGCAATGCTCGTTCTCATGATCAGGGAACCAAGGTTATACTAGTAACTGAAACGTTAACAAGAACCTCATGCTCTTGCAGTGAGAGCAGCTGCTTTCCGTGAGTGCAGCCTTGGCGTGGGCACATCCCAGAAGCCCTGCATGAGCCACACTCGTGGCACGACATTTCACAACAAACGTTGCTTGAATTTGCTCTTTTAGATGTAAAAAATTGCTCTTAAGTATTCGCTGGATGGTCACAGGAGAGAAGTTCTGAATCAGCTGCAGCTGTCAAGGCACTGTAAATCCGCTACTTGAGGCTTGTTCTCACCGAGCAGAAGGCTTCTTTCTATTCTTCGGAGTCAGCAAGATAATCTCCACACTTTAAGGAGAAAATTCTGATGAAAATGGCTTTCAGCGCGACTTAAATAAGCAGACGTCACCGCCCGTTTTGGCAGGTGCAGGTGCACAGACGTGAACCAATGAGGCTTCAGTATTTTCGTCTCCATACCGGCATGATGACTCCAACTTCCAACCAGATAGAACTGGATAAATATTCTGAATGTTCTGATCCAATCTGACTTCTGACCTGTAATGCTGCCTGAATCATAATCATACACATGTTCGTTTATTGGCCAGAGGAGAACTGGCCCCCAGACTTAGCCTGGTTTCTCCCAAGGTTTTTTTTCTCCATTCTGTCACTTGATGGAGTTTTGGTTCCTTGCTACTGTTGCCTTGGCTTTTAGTTTGCTTAGTTGGGGACATTTAATATTCAACTATATTATTGATCTGCCGAAGGTGGACGATGACGCAATTTTCTTCTAGAAACAAACTTTGTTGTATTATTTTCATGTTATCACTGTGAAGCTGCTTTGAAACAATCTGTATTGTAAAAAGTGCTATATAAATAAATAAGTGACTTGACTTTTAGAAAAACTGAGTTTTTCCCATTAGCATTAGAAATTGACGCAATGCGAGTGAGCCGCATCGAAAGGGAACATGTAATAATGTAATTAATCAATTAAGTGAATTAGTAGTAGTCTGATTAGAGTATTTTAAAATGTAATATAATCTAATTACAAGTACTTAATTTTTACATAATCCAGATTACATGTAATCAGTTACTAGCACTGGAAATAACAACTGGAACTTGCATTCAGTATAGACCTGGAGAGTTCGCACCTCATCGAGGAACGGGGTCATTTGGATGGAGACCCTGGAAAGTGCACACCCTCTGCAGTATCTCTAAACTCTAACTTGTATTACCTTTGGTCTATTTCTCTTGACGTGATACTGGTACAGTGAGCAATGAGACATTTCAAATAATACCAAACATGACTGTTAATTCAATTGGCATGACACAGAACATTATATTTTTATATAATCATTCTGAGTGAACGGAGTGAAGAATAAAGGGACGGAAGTGAGGGAGAAGAAACAAACGCGAAGGAAAGATAGAAGGGAAAGAAGCTTTCCCTCATCTTCACTCTGTGGCTGAGACAGATGCCTGTATGTGCACTTTCAGGAAAAAAAAATGGTACAAAATCTGTCACTGGGACAGTACCCTTTTAAAAAGTTCTAACTTGCTGTATATATATACTTTTGGTACACTGGACTCTACCACACTGATCATTTACAGTACAAATAAGCACTCTACAAAGGTGCAGCCCCAGTGACAGCTTTTTTTGAGAGTGTGTTTCTATTGTCCGTATATCTCAGGAGATCAAAGTATATGAGGTTCTTTCAGCCTTACATCAGTAATGTGTCTATTTATCCGTCTGTTTGTGAAAGGGTGGTTAGGCTTAAGGAGGAAATATCTGGCTTGATTCCAGCAGGGGTGTCTGTACAGAGTCCAGTAGTACAATTCCATTTGACCACTTTATTAATCCATCAAAGCAGATGAGCAGGAAGTTCATAATGTGTGGTTTCAAGACAAGAACAGAAATACAAACAACCGAATCAAGATAAATCTTATTAAAATGATACAATCAAAAGATAAACAATAGAAACCAGCAAAATAAACTTACATTTCTCATGAACAACTTACTATGCTTACAACACATCAAAAACATCAGGCAGCTTTAAAGTCTCTCGGTCTATTGTAGATTTAACTAGATTTAATTATATCATATGGAACCAATCTAACCGATATAGATATTATACCGCAAAGTGACGATCTCACCGATCATCACATGGTAACTTGTATAATACGCACTGCTGAAATTTGTCATGTTGCGCAACGTTATAGACCAGGCAGAACAATCCTTCCGACCACTATAGATAGATTCTCAAATAGCTTACCTGATCTATCTCAGCTGCTCAGAGAACCCAAACAAACAGATGAACTAGAGGAAATGACTAGCAGTTTGAGCACCATTTTCACTAGTACATTAGATATTGTTGCACCAATTAGATCAAAAAAGGTTAGAGAGAAAACTAAAGCACCATGGTACAACAGTGCTACGCATGCTATCAAGAGAGAAACTCGTAACCTAGAGCGTAAATGGAAACAAACTAATTTAGAGGTCTTTAGAATCGCGTGGAAAGACAGTATGTCACGTTATAAAAAAGCTCTAAAAGCAGCCAGGGCTGAGCATCTCCGCAAACTAATAGAAAATAACCAAAATAATCCAAGGTTTTTATTTAACACCGTGGCTAGACTAACAAATAAACAGACATCACCCGAGCAAATTATTCCGTTACAGTATAGCTGTAATGATTTTATGAACTACTTCAATGAGAAAATAGAAAGCATCCGAAACACAATTGTAAATGTACAATCCTCTATGGTGTCTTATGATTCAGCCTCAATTATCGCCCCTCAAGAACAACTACACCGCTTTACAACTATAGGACAGGAAGAGCTAAATAAACTTATCATTGCATCTAAACCAACAACATGTTTATTAGATCCAATACCAACTAAATTTCTGAAAGAAGTGTTACCTGTAGTGGAAGAGCCTCTTCTTAATATTATTAACTCGTCTTTATCTTTAGGTCATGTTCCAAAAATATTCAAGCTGGCAGTAATAAAACCTCTCATTAAGAAACCGCAATTAGATCCAAATAACTTAGCAAATTACAGACCGATTTCAAATCTTCCATTTATGTCTAAAATACTAGAAAAGACTGTGTCCGCTCAATTGTGCTCTTTCCTGCAAGAAAATGAGATATATGAAAAATTTCAGTCAGGATTCAGACCGCATCATAGCACAGAAACTGCGCTAGTTAAAATTACAAATGATATACTTTTAGCTTCTGACCAAGGCTGTATCTCAATATTAGTTCTACTCGATCTTAGTGCTGCGTTTGACACTATCGATCATAAAATACTCTTGGATCGACTACAAATCTACACTGGTGTTCAGGGACAGGCATTAAGCTGGTTCAGATCGTATTTATCAGACCGTTACCATTTTGTTTGTTTAAATGGGGAAAAATCGAAGATAACGTAGTAGACTATGGAGTGCCGCAAGGATCGGTGTTAGGCCCTCTGCTATTCTCAATATACACTCACCGCCCACTTTATTAGGTACACCTGTCCAACTGCTCGTTAACACTTAATTTCTAAGCAGCCAATCACATGGCGGCAACTCAGTGCATTTAGGCATGTAGACATGGTCAAGACAATCTCCTGCAGTTCAAACCGAGCATCAGTATGGGGAAGAAAGGTGATTTGAGTGACTTTGAACGTGGCATGATTGTTGGTGCCAGAAGGGCTGGTCTGAGTATTTCAGAAACTGCTAATCTACTGGGATTTTCACGCACAACCATCTCTAGGGTTTACAGAGAATGGTCCGAAAAAGAAAAAACATCCAGTGAGCGGCAGTTCTGTGGGCGGAAATGCCTTGTTGATGCCAGAGGTCAGAGGAGAATGGCCAGACTGGTTCGAGCTGATAGAAGGGCAACAGTGACTGAAATAACCACTCGTTACAACCGAGGTATGCAGCAAAGCATTTGTGAAGCCACAACACGCACAACCTTGAGGCGGATGGGCTACAACAGCAGAAGACTCCACCGGGTACCACTCATCTCCACTACAAATAGGAAAAAGAGGCTACAATTTGCAAGAGCTCACCAAAATTGAACAGTTGAAGACTGGAAAAATGTTGCCTGGTCTGATGAGTCTCGATTTCTGTTGAGACATTCAGATGTTAGAGTCA